GCATACTGGGTACATTTTTCTAGAGAGATTTTTTTTATCATTGTCTACTTATGTGAACTTTCTTCTGTTTACTCACTTTCCTCTCCTTTTCTCACTATTGTTTGAATTTCAGTGATTTCCTTTTCATGAATCATCCTGGGATACTGTGTGACTCCCCCTAATACTCTCTTCTTAACAGTTGCCAACAGATAAGCACTTACTGCTTTCATCCTTAGACCATCTGGGAAGGATAAATGTTCAGCTCACATTGGGAACAGGCACCTTTTCAGCCACAGTTGTTAGCAAGTTACTCCAATTGCTCTGCATACATTTTGCTTCATTTGTTTTTAATATTGAAGACAGAGGCCTGCAAATAACCTCTTATACAGATGCTAGGTAGATAATTTGTTTGGATAAAGTGGGTAGATAACTGGAGTGTCCGATTACTGCTATTGCAATTTTTTGTTGTTTCCATTATCATTATGAAAACTATTTATTGTGCACCTGTGATATTGTCATCTGGATTTGAGTTAAGCCTTCAGCAAATCAAGAGAGATATCCCCAGTACATTGCCTCCTCTTGATTCCAGTCCACAGATGACAAGGAATAGACAAATGTGCAAAACAAATAATGAACACAACATAAAATAAATATTCTTTGTTTAAGTACCAAAGAAATGGTGGGAAAAACTATATGCCTGTAGGTAGTAAGGCCTCCCCTAATTAACTTCCCAAGATAAATGACAGAATTCCAAGATCAACACACCTAGGAAAAGAATCCGAAAAACTAAATAATAGTAACATTTCTCTAGGAGAAATGTCCCTAGTGGCCAACTTAGAAGGATCAGAAATCTCACAGCCAACCTTTTGTAGAGTTACATCATCATGTAGCCATATGTTGAATCTGAATCAAGTCAAAGAGAGGAAAGATGCATTTAATTTTTGACGACACTAAGCTGTCAGAAGGACTAATGCCAAAAAAAGTGAGAAGTGACATACTTGAAATCTATAAATTGCATTTCATGTTCATTTGTGCCTTTAGGGAAAACAAATAAAATTTCTTCCTTCTCTGGAAGTGGATGATGAATGATTGCTCAGAGTTGGGTGGCGGGGAGCCTGTGTCACCATTATTGACTTTCTATTGAAAAGAATTCATCTGCAGGTGCCATCAAAGCAGTGTCTGTCTGCACACCATGCAAGGCATAGGTGAACTGGTTCTAATCACTCATGGGCAGATCTGAACAGAGAATAATTACTTTTCTGTTAAAGACACGTTCTTTCCCTTGTTTCTACCCTCCATGTCTCCAAGTAGAAGAGTAGGAAGTTATGTAAGAGGACTCAGACTCCCAGTATCACAGGGATGAAGAGGTTTCACCTACTTATTCCCTCATTAATTTGTGTGTTCATTTACAAAGATATAGGGACCTCTACTATAGACCAAGCTCTGTGTTAGACAAGGAAGAAAAAGAACCCTCTTTTTAGAGAGCTTATTTCAGGAACTGTGTAAAATTTGGACTCATGCTTCTTACAAAATCCTCCTACAATTCTGTCATGCAGATCATATTCCAGAATGCAGAAGATTAAACACAACAAAACACCACTTATTCAAAGTCACATGAAGAGCCAGAAGAGGGTAGAGTGCCAGGGTAAACCAGCAAAGACAGTGATCACTGGACACATTTAAGGAGTGTGATCTATTATTTCTCAGGAGTGTTCATGAACTTGACATTGCCATTTTAATATTTCTGAGTTGAATACCTTCTTGAAAAGATCGAACATATTTATTTATCAATGACATCATTTATGTCTATAGATTGGATTACATGTGTTATTTACATTGTTTCTTTCAAATAGGTTAAACAGTTTCTATTTATATTTTGCTTAAATACCTTATTTACTTATTAATTTATTTATTGTTAGTAACCTACAAAAGGACGGAACAAATCTCAACCCACTTGAAAGAGAAATTACTAAAGAATTTTAGTTTGAAGACTTACTTAGATAACAATAATTTGTTAAATACTTTCTATGGTTCCACCACTGTACTAGTTGTAACCTACTTACGTTGAAGTTGGATGCATTGGTGTATATTAATCTATGCATGCATTTGTGCATTTATCATTCAGTTGTAACTGAATATAGGCAATAATATTAAATTAAAAAATCAGAATAAAAAGCTCAATCTATGATATGGCATATAGATGTGGATAAAGTAGAAGGAAGCATAAATATTGTTTATCTTGTTGAAGGGATAGGGTCATGAGCTGTTTAATTTTCTTTTATTTTCAGTTCTATTGTTGTTCTTACAAAATTGTTTGTGCAATAAAAAATGGCTAAACTAAAATTGATCCAGAATGACCTGTTTGTTTTGAGTGGATGTGAGCAGAGGTTTGAAAGAAGAACCACTAGAAGCTTTGTGTAATAAAGACACACTTATATAAATCTTACAGGGGGAATTTCCTAGCATCTTTTATCATTTCTAAAATGTCAAATTCCCAAATAGAGGGTTTCAGGTGAGGACTGTATAGAGAAATTGAGATTTTATTCCCTGGAAAAAACAGCCACGCATGCCACGATTTTCATTATTGAATCTTAAGTAACCGTGTGTTTGAAAACTATTGCACTATTCTACCCCACCTCTCCTCATTCAATTTTTCCTCAATGAAGTTTTTTTTATACAGTGTTATGACTGAGAGCATGAGTGTGTAGCAATAACATTTTAAATATATGATAAGTAAAAATCTACATGACTTGAGGATATGCAGTCAGCCCAGTATGTTTGTTTTGCTGAAGTGGTCTGCCAGGAGAAGCAGGTGGTGAGGTCTGCACCCCAGGAAAGAGGAAAACATTCTGGTTAGAGAGGAGATAGATTATCAGAGGCAGGACATCACCTTGCCTGAGACAATAGATGCTCTAAAATTGGGCCTCTTCATATTATTATGGAAATTACTTTTGACAGTAGTGCAAAAAGGGTGTTGTATATTATTGTTAACTGTAGTTGGAGATACAAAGCAATATGATCATTTAATAACTTATTTGTTATTTGGAAATCAACAGCTTTTAGGTGCCAGTAAATGTGAAACCACCTGGAAATACTCTCGTGAATTCAGGAGCCACCTAAACATCCTTTTCTAATACATACAAGAGATTTTAATGAAGCCGTGTGAGTTTGTATTTAGCAGATTACCGGATGGCTTCATGTCAGCCATCCAATGAGAGAACCCTATCTGCTTGGTAAAGGAGAGGCAAGAAAACTATGATCGTGTCAGAATTTATGGTTGGGGACAGTGGCTCCACCGGAACGTGGATTGAGAAACAATTAGTCTCCCAATTTTGTGTGTGCTTTCCATCTTGTCCGGAGTGCAGCTGACAGCCAAAATGCCCCCCCCCCCTGCACCACAGCTCTTCTCTCTTCTTCAAAAAGAGAGGTTGAAAGAACAGCAAGGAGCCTTAAATTTGCCCTGGATAACATAAACACTGTTCAGGCTGAGTGGGTCGGATGTGCCATTTGCAGTGACAGGGCACCACTTTTGAAGATGACGCTAACTGTCCCAAGGTTTTAATACGATTGCCTCCAAAGACGTGCGAAATCTCCATGGGTTTGCCTGGCACTTGACTCTTCTATGAGATGGCTCTGTTTTATTTTCCCTTTCTCTCTCTCACTCTCCTTTTCCTAGAACTGCTGCATTCTCAGCTGGCAATCTTTAAAAACCCCAGGCTGCAGTGATTTCTCACCATAGAGCCACACATTAAGCACATCTTTCATGCTTCTCCGAAGCAAACTCAGAAAGTGCCAATTAATAAGTTGATGGGGAAGAAGTCAGTGGGTAGCATTAAAGCTACCCGTCTGGAGGCATTAGGTGCGCGCTTTGAGTGAAAGCAGACCTGCAGAGAGTTGGGAATAAGGTACTTTATCACACATTCCTAGAGGCATAAAATGAGAGAATAAAAATCAGTGTTCAGGGCAGCTTCTCTGCCGTGTTCCTATTGTGAATTGTTCATTACGGCTCTGACCAAGATGAACCAGCCCAGCGAGGGAGCGTACAACATCCGCAGCTGCGAAGTTTTACACATGTAGAGTGTATTTGCTGGTGGACAGTCAAAAGATGGAGGAGGAGCCCAGCTGCTCTTTCCATGGAACTGCCATTCATATTTGCTGTCACTGTTTTGGGCATCTTTCTCGGTCCACATGACTGCTCTGAAAACTCTTTCCATCCATTCATTCATTTGACCAGTATTTACTGAGTGTATAGTATGTGCTGGGCCTTACTCTAGCTGCTGGGAATATATATATATATACCTGTGGGGTAGAAAAGTAAAGAAATACCAACTATGGAATTAACGTTCTAGCAGAAGGGATGTAGACAATAAAACAAGTAAGTAAATTATACAGTGGGTTAGAAGAGGATAAAGTGGTCTTTGTACAGTGCGCAGAGAAGGCTTTAGAAAGCCCAGCTTTTGACACTAGAGTCAGAAAATCGGGCTAAAGGGAGGATGGCATGGGATTGGGATGTTGTTGACATGAACGAGAGGGCTATGGTCAGCGAGAACATCCCAGGAAGTCCATCCTCTTTCCATCCCTTTCCACCTTACCCACGCCACGCTATGGCAAGTCTTGCTCCTTAATCTACTCCCCCAAACGTAAAGTCAACAAGGTACAGTAAGAAGGAGGGTTGAGGCCAGGGGAACAATGGGAAATGCTGCAGATTATGGAAATAACTTTAAGGGGGGGAAAAAGAAAAACCAAAGGAGTGCTCTAGAAGAAAAGAAAAGGCAGGCTTCTGTTTCCTCTCCCTTCCTTCCAACGTGACCGGCTGCCTTCATTCCATAGTGAAAATCCTTTTATGGCCGTGGGTCAATGTGGGACAAGAGCCCTGACAGAGTCAAGGTCCCCTGGTTGGCCAGGTGTTCCTTGCACACCCCTTTTTCCTCCTGTGTCAAAACTGTAGCTCGTTTTTAAGATTCAGAAATTTGTAAATTTAACTTCCATTGTTGTCTTTCCCCAATATTTTTTTGCTGCAGATTATGCTACTCACGGACCCTGAGATCGAGAGCAGTTTATTGATCAGCTCAGATGAAGGAGCAACTTATCAGAAATACCGGCTGAATTTCTACATTCAGAGCTTGCTTTTCCATCCCAAGCAGGAGGACTGGATTCTGGCCTACAGCCAAGACCAAAAGGTGAGCATGAATACCTTGTTTGAGACAGTGGTGCCCCGTTTTCCAGGGAGAACTCGCCATCAACTATCTCTGCATTTCTTCTGTGATCAGCTTTGTCCTGTGCCATGGCCTGAACTGGGTGCCGGGGGTGAGAGGCAGCAAGGAGGACCTCAGGTTGCTGTCTTGAGCTATGCCAACGTCTGACACAGCACCCAAAGGAAAAACTAGACAGTGGGGAATTCACTGCAGAGCAGCGGTTTTTATTTTTATATTTTTAAATATATTTTTTTATTGTTCAAGTACAGCTGTCTCCATTTTCCTGCCCCACCCACCCCTACCTCCCACCCTCAATCTTTCCCCACTTTGGCCCTCTGTACATGTTCTTTGACTTGACCCTTCCCCTTCTTTTCCTTGTTACCCCGTTCCCTCCTCCACTCTCATTACTGTCAGTTTGTTTTTTCTTTCAGTGTTGCTGGTTATGTTTTTCCTGCTTGTTTGTTTTGTTGATTAGGAGAAGCAGTTTTTCATGTAGATGTTTCAGGCCATTAGGAGCCCTTGTCCCCCATTGGGATCTGAGACATCTTTTGTAGATGGAGAGGTGATCATCTTCCTAGACAAAGAACAAGGGTAGCTTTTCTAAGACCCTTAAGAGGAAGGATGACCTCCCAAAAGTTAAAACAGTAATTAGGAATTTTTCTAAGACAGTGAGAGAAATGGCCAGAGGCACAGTAAGAGCGCACATAGAGAACAGTAGCCAGAACCAGGTTATCACAGGACTTTTCTTCTCTTGCTGGTTGGATTGAAAGAGAGTCCTAGTTTTTAAAGAAAGCATTGGATGAGGTTTTGCTAGTCAATGTCTCTGCCTGTGTGTTATGTGTGATATATAGTATTATATATGTGTGTGATATATAATATATATATTATATGTGTGTATATGATTATATAATAATAATATTATATATATATTGCTATGGGATACATACTATAAAATATATCATGTACTCCATGCTACAGATACACAATGAAATACATATAGCTCCTGCTTTTAAGAAACTTACATTCCCAGGTAGAATATAAAACTACCCACATTACACAGAAAATATAATTAAATTAAAATTGAAGGAAAAAATATATATATTTTCAAATATGAGATAGACTCTAGCCATAGAAGCCAAAAGGAAAATGGTGAGATATTGGAATGTTGTTTGTGAAACGCATGATACAGTGAAGTCATTCTTAGAATTCTCTTTAGAGGACTCATGTCTTAGAAATTATACATATTTAAAGACATACTGGACTCAGCTGAATGAGGGGGATATTCTAGGGTTTTATCTAGAGATGGTGGAGATGTGTGGGGTTCTTCCCGAAGGGAGTACAAAGGTGGAAGCCACTTTCCAAGGTCTCTACTGACACAAGCAATTGAAGGAACCAAGTTAAAATACTCAGGATTGGAGTTTTATTCATGCTGCCCTTGCTGCCAAATAAAATGCACATTAAATCTAAAAATAGAAAAGATTTACAATTAGTACTTTTTTTTCCTCTTGAGCAGCCTGGCTACCCTTTCAGCAGAATGTATAATTTCATTCCTGGAGTCAAGCCACAGTGCATGTGGTCCAGGAAGGGGCAGTTGCTACAGGAGAGGCTGAGAGGCTCAAGACACAGAATATTAGTCATTTAATCTGCTGGGTTATTGTATTTTATTTGACAGCTGGTTAATTTTCCCCATGATGCTAGAGACACAGTGAAGGCCAGATTTACCTGGCTCAGTGAACACTATGCATCTTTGCAGTTGTGCTGGAGAAGATGCCCCAAGATGTAACCCTTCGTGTCCCAGCACTTTAAATGGCACTGCCCATGATCACTGTGGCAGAGTGGGGGGCCCTGGAAGAGGTAGGCCCTCTGGGCTGTGGCCCCAACTCGGCCACTTACAGTGAGCAGTACTTAGTATTGACTTTGCTGTAAAATGGGTTCATACAGGTAATATGATTGCAGGTGCACTTCCTAAAAGATTGAAAAAGAAAATGAACATTAGACTCCACATCTATTTTAGGTGCTCTGCATGGTGTAGTGTTGGTATAATATCACTATAGCAAGGAGCATTTAATCCATCTGGGGAGAGAAGATTAAATGCATATGAGTTCACCAATAGTCTAAGAGGCCAGAAAAAGCAGTATCCTCGTTCACATGTAATAGAGGCTCAATCAATACAGCTGGATTGATTATATGAAATTGGCAGCCCAGAGTTCAGGAGATGAGGATCTTATGAAATGATTTCACCTGGACCTTAATGAATATGTTGTATTTTTTTAGGGGAGCATATTTACACAAGAGGAAGGTCATAAGCAATAACACAAAGTTGGAAAAATCATGTTTACAGGATGTGAATTTGTCTCTGGCTGAAACTGAAATTTGGTAAAGCTAATTATATCCTTCTGGAATAGACTCTTGATTACTTTTGACTCTCTCTTGACCTCTTGGTTGTTAGGCAAAATCATTTTTTTTTCCTAATTAGGCACCTTTTGAAAATTTTGGTCAGTGGAATGGCGTGTTCAGACCTATAAATCCTCTGGTAGAAATATAATGATGAAATGTGATACTGAAAGGTTATAAGCAAGAAGACTAGTTAGGATAGCATAGTTGTCCTGTTCTGGACCCAAAAATTCTCTTTTGTGACCAGAGACCAAATGAATTCTATCATTCAGGAGCTGAATGAAGCCTTAACAGTCTTTGTTCTGTAGAAGTTCATGAATCTTCCCAAAGAGAAAACCCACCCATTGGTATCACTTTATTTAGTGATTGGAATAAAGCCTTCCTTCCATGAATTTGGTAGGGTTCTCATTGTTGAGGGTGCTCTCTTGAGACGAGCAGGTGGGCAGATTTCTGCTAACCTCTCTGTTCCTCCAGGACAGAATGAAGGAGAAATCAGGCTGGAAGAAAAAGTATGGATAACCTGCAAGTAGGGGTTGGAGAAGAACTCTGTATCACAGGGCTCAAATCACAGAATGAGGAGTGGGGCTGTAGCCATCAGATGAGCCATTAGCTAATGGGGTTGGCTGGAAGTCAAGTTGAGAGGGTCTGTGGCCACTCGGGTGGATCAGTGATATGGAAATAATAGCTGGCAATTACCCATGAATCAGGGAGCTTTTAACACTAATGAGATGTCTCTATGAGCACCAAGGAGGGCCCTGTGCTGGTGCTGGCAGACCAATGACTATATTTGCCCAGGAAAAGGTACATTTATTCTTTCATGTAAGGATTATGCATCAGTTTTTCTGTGACAGCTGCCACAAAACTCCCAGCTATGAGCTTAGCCTCGGTGCTAGCTGGCTCTGCTGGATGCTGTTTCACATCAGCCTATGGTGGACAGAATTTTCAGGCAAAAGGCACTGTCTCTTAGGAAGTATTGTGTTTAGGCGGCCGCTCCTTCAGAACTCAGCTGTGAACGGAATCCCGCTCTCTTCTTTCTCCTCGCGTGCGGTCCCTGGTGTCTTTTTCAGGCATCCCCTCGCTCTTTTGAATACACAGCCACCTTCATTTCCCCCTTATCTTCCTGCCAGTACTTTTCCCTCCTTCAATGAATGAGACCTTTAAAGCCCTGAAGACAGAGTCTGGATCTCTGGCTTCCAGTTGGAGCCCATATGGGCACCGGTGTTCTGCTCTGGTTGCATTTCATCTCTAATGCCTGCATACCCCGTGGAGGCTTTTCGATGTGAACATTTTAAGATACTCAAAGAGTCTAGTTGAGGAGATTGTCCTTTCTGGCCTAAGATAGAGTTTTTCTGGCCACTGCTTCCTTGCAAAGCTAAGTTTCAAAAAAAGAAAAAAAAAAGCTTTTTACCAGGGAGAAATATGTACAGCCAAATACCCTCAGAATCTCTAAAACTGGGATATTTTGATGTTGTAGTCTTTTTTCTTAGAGAAAGAAGCCTCTCTGTGGTATTCAGTGTCTAGGAGGTTGCCAAGAGGTAAATATTGTCTTCAATTGGCACGTGGCTCTCCACGCCTTTTTTCCCTTTGAAGTTCTCGAAGAAGTAGTCTGATTGCCTAGGACACTCGGTTGGGGACTTAATGCAGAAATAAGAGCTGGGTTCCTTGGCCTCTGAAGGTTCACTGCCAGGCTGTGCCTTTGGAAAGCCCTGGAAACTCCAGAAAAATAGACATTATGGAAAGTTTATATCCAATGGGAAGAGGGACAATGGTCACGTAAAGTCGTGCTGCTTATACCTCTTACAACAAAGCCCCAAAAAGCAGTGAGTCACCGTGGGCCCTGTGAAGAACTCCATGGCGTTTATTCATTATAGGAGCACCAAAACCTTGCTTTCCTTTATTTATGTCTGTCCTTTCTCATTTCTGCACTTAAGCAGTAGACAAAGCAAACATTCTGCTTGTTCTTTTGGTTTCTTTGCATTAGGAAACCAAGCAAGTAGGAGGAGGGAGGTACAGTTCACCTCATTGCCAGCCTCCCTCACTTTCTTGCCTCAGTATAGAAAACCACCCAGGGCAGGCTTCACAGCAGGCTGAGACTACCAGATCACATCTTTATTTTAATTTGGCAGAGAAGTTGTGTACAAACTGTGCTCTAAAACATTGCCTCCAACGGCATCTCTCAGTCTGTCTTAAACACCTCACTAAACATGATGTGTTGGGAAACATTTGAAACAAAATGCAGATGTGATGGAAAGGAAAAAAAATAGGAGTAAAGTATGAGAATATACATATACTTCAGCTTCGCTGGCCATCCTGGGGCCCGGAGCTCCTGGCTGTGCTGTCGGGGGTTGGTTTTCCTGGAGGAGTGTTTTATAAAGGCAGTGGGGAGGGGTCTGCCATGTTGTGAAACCAATAAGCACACTGCTGGGGACTCAGGCTAGTGAGTAGCTTGGGAGGAGAGGCCTGTGATCTGCTTATCCAGGCTGGCAAGTCCTCCTGGGTGCTCCGCAGAAGGGCCTGTGCCCCCTGACCCTAAGCAGGGTGGACCACTCTGCTCCGGTCGGGTGCCACATGCTGCTTCCACCGCACTTACG